AAGAATTATTTCTCAGAGATGGTTTCAATTATTATATAAGGCAGGATTGGTTATGCTATGTCACCTTAACAAATAACCCCTAAGTCTCAGTTAATTATTTCTTGCTTATGTTACATGACCAATTTGAAGTGGCATATGTGTGTAGGGGGGGGTTCTACCCATTGAAATCACTCAGTCACATAAGCTTGACAGAGATCCCATCTTGGGATGTGTTTCCAAGATCACAAAGCCAGGAAAAAGGGCACTTGACAAATTGTACACTAGCTCTTAATGTTCCTGCCTAGGGGTGATGTGTATCTCATGTCCTCAGACTTCAGTAGCCAAAACATGTTACAGTACTGTGACAATTTTCAAAGGATGTGGAGAAGTGCAAGCTCTCCATGAGCCTGGCAGGAAATAAGAACCAGAATGTTTGTGCACCGATATAATGGTTACCATGAACAAGGTGACTCTGAGCCTCACGAACGGTGAAGCAATCTCTCTCTTCAGTATGGCGTATAAATTCCAGACTTTGTCACTCTCACCTAAGATTTATTTCTAAATGGCCAGTGGAAGGCAGTTAAAATAAAGCTTCAGAGAAATAGTACTTCCTTTGAAAGAAATAGTTGATTTGTGTTTGCATAAGAAGATAGTATTCTGAAAAAAATAAAAAAAAAAGAAGAAGATAGTATTCTGTATCTGATAGTAGCTCCGTGACTTCAGAGCTAATTATTGTGAGATACCGGATAGTCTGTGGATTAATTCTCTTAAAGAGGAAATGCTTTGGATCTTACTTGTCAAACTATCATAAGGGACCATCAGCATCAGCATCACCTGGAAGCTTGATATAATTGTAGATTCTTAGGCTGTATCCCAGATTTACTCAATCAAAATTTGATTTTAACAAAACCCTTAGGTGATCCATGTGTACACTAATGTTTGAGAAGCACTGGATTAAGGTATCTGGGGTATGTCCATGAAATCGATGATATACCATGTGTGAGATTCCATAACTGAAGTCCAACATTTAAAAAAGAACTTTCCTTTTTTAAATTTGGATTTTTCCAATTGTCATAGGGCTGAGACTCAAAAAAATTTACGGTTTTAAATCATAGAAGCAAAACAACGTACTCTACTTAAAAATTGTTATCTGCATAACGTTTTGCTTGTTAGGTGGCCCTAATAAGTCTGGCATCTTATTTTTCCAGTCTCAAAGAGAATGGCAGTTGTGCGACATTATTACCTCAAGGGAGGTCAGAAGACACCATGCTGAGCACAACTTGCACATATCATAATACTGAGCAGTGAGAAGTTCAGGTCCCCCTCCTACCCCATCCCCACACATTTCTTTGGATTAATTATCAGGTCTTCAAAGGCAAACTACTGCTTCCAAACTTTAAGGAATGCGTATATTATCATAGCTTAACTTAGATTCCACCTGTCAGGGGGAGATGCTATTATTCTTGTGGATGTGAATGACACCTCGTTATTAATATTGACACAGTAGTACATATCAGAAGTGATAGTCACTTCTGGTTTTTTTTTTTTTTCCCTGAAAACAAGAATATTGGGGGATCCCTGGGTGGCTCAGCGGTTTAGCGCCTGCCTTTGGGGCAGGGCATGATCCTGGAGTCCCGGGATTGAGTCCCACATCAGGCTCTCTGCAGGGAGCCTGCTTCTCCCTCTGCATGTGTCTCTGCCTCTCTCTCTCTCTCTCTCTCATGAATAAATAAAATCTTTAAAAAAAAAAAAAAAAGAAAAAAAGAATATTTCCAAAAAGAATAAAATGTAAAGGCTGAAGTGAACTGAAATAATCACACAAAATGATTTCCTCCCCAAATTGCAAGGGTGGGGTGCTTTTTAGGAAGTTTTAGCAAACAATCTCAACCAGCTAGGAAAAGGTAAACCTAATTTAGTACTCAACAATAATGTCTAGGTTTGTTTAATGCTTGTTGTGAAAATAATTTCACTCTACATAAATTTCTTAATATAATCGCCACCTGGGGAGAGAAAGAAGCTACAAACAAATCGTCTTACACTTTTTGGCTCCATCTCACATAAATAAGCTAAAATTTATCCACCAGTTTTATGATGCATTTTCCTGTAAACATGGCTTCATCTCAGAACTACTGCAGCAAGACACTGAAAACATTTAATGAGAGACATAAAACATGTACAGATAAGGTAAGTAAATATTTGTATATTCTGAGTCACTAAGAGACACCTCAGTTATCATCCTTGTAAGTTAGATGTCTTGACACAGTTTTATTCCCAATTGTTTGTAGACATTCTTCTGCTACTGCTAAAATAAGTGAATTTCATCATTAGTAGACACGTAAAGCCTGGCTACGGTGTTATAGCGCTGCCTCTGGGTTTGGTTTGATAAAAAACCTGTTCCACAGGAACGTAAATCATGTTGCTTAACTGGAATGTGAGAGACTAGACTGAGCAGAACTCCGAGGAATACCATTTGCTCTTCTATTATTTTAGAAAAACATGTAAGGTTTTGACACTGATTCCTGATCTGACCCTCAAGAGGTGAATTTAGCTCTAAAGGAATGACAGTTGTGATACAGAACTCAGACTTGTCCAGGCCCCCGATGCGCAGCCAGCCGATGTCTGAGACACCAACTCTGAAGCAAGGAGAGCTTTGTTATCAGAAGGGCAGCCCAAGGAGAAGGCAGGGGACCATTCCCAAAGCTGCCTTGTACTGTTGAGCCCAGTGACAGCTTTTGTATGCTTGGGGAAGGAGGTGAATACACAGGGGAGGGTGAAGGTTTCTTGAAAACTTGACTGGGGGGTGGGACCTTGAAACAATCTGGAGATATGCCTTCTTTCAGCCAATGAAGCCCCCTTTGGGACCTGGCAATCAGGTAAGCAGTTAAGTTCAATACAAATGTTAGCATCATAGGGTCCCTGTTGGCTTACTACATTCAGTGGGTAAACAGGGGGTGGGAGTGGAAACAGCAAAGTTAATGGTTGATAAGAGGCACAGAAAAGATAAATAAGTAGGGAACAAAATGGAACGTGGAGCTAAGTTAATAATGCAACTAATGCAACTATAGTTCTGCTTATGCTTTTAAAGTAGGTCCAGGAACCAGGTGTCCAGCCTCAGCTGCCTTATAATACATCTGACCAAGGTTTAGATATTCTAATGCTCTTAACACAGTTCTATAACCAGGCCATGCAAGGCTTCTCACAAAACCAGAAAAGCTCCTCTCTCCCCGTCATTCCTTTCTCACTCCTGTTTTCAATTACTGGTTTCTCAAAATCATTCAGGAAACTATGGAGGACCGTTAATAGGCTATTGGAAAGCCCAGAGCAACTGCCCAAGGACAGGCAAAATGCACTAATTCTTTTTAAAAGAACCTGGGAAATAGCCTGCAAATCATTGTCACTGAGTTGGCATTAGATGATTTCTTTCTTACGGAGTAATGTATAGTAGCTATTATTTAGTTGTTAATGAAACGTGCTGCATAGTCTGTCTTTAGGGTCTCTGTGTTTTCTGTGGTATTTTCTTCTCATCTTTGCAAAGTCCTACCTCATTCTCTTTCAATGGTTATGATGAGTTCTTGGCCAGAAACAGTTGCATAATACTGTCAGGTTATAGCTTATTTTCAGAGAAATAGTTTGGTCATCTTCAGTAGCATTAAATGGAATGAATTAATTGTTCAGATGCCCATATTAATGTGCAAGGCAGCCCTTCCTTTGTTATTCAGAAATTATTTTCATTTTATTTAGTTTATATTCTCTTTTAATGTGTCAAGAATATGCCCTTTATATTCACTCATATTTCCTTAACTAAGACAGGACTACTTACATTTCTTCTAATATATATATGAAAATAATGCTTTTCTGTGATTGTGTATCATCACGTCCTACACTTAAGTGCATCTTTGTAGACTATCACATTTGTTTAGTGCTGCCTAATTTTCCATGAAGCTTCATTCACTCATTCAATACATGTTTATTGAGTATCAGTTACTTAGGGTACTTGAGTGAACAAAGTAGACAGAAATCTCCACCTTTAAGGAGTGTACATTATTTTCAAGTTGTTGCAACTTCAGGTGATCTTTTAAAAAATAAAAATCCCCAGGACGCCTGGGTGGCTCAGGGGTTGAACGGCTGCCTTGGTCTTAGAGTGTGATCCCAGGTCCAGGCATCAAGTCCCACGTCAGGCTCCCTGCAGGGAGCCTGCTTCTCCCTCGGCCTGTGTCTCTTCCTCTCCCTCTGTGTCTCTCATGAATAAGTAAATAAAATCTTAAAAAAAAAATAAAAATAAAAATCCCCATTTAAAAACCCAACCTATTTGGCTCCTTCATTCGTATGTACAAATCATAACCAGAATTTAGATATAACATAAAACATATATTTTGTGTCCGACGGTGTGTTCACCACTTTACATTTAGCTAGCTCACTTAACCCTCACAGTAGCTGCAAAAGGAGGTACTACTATGATCCTTAGTTTACAGATGAGGAGAGGAGGCTCAGAGAGAGTACTTAAGGAGAAGCAGGAAAATTAATAAAGAGACACCTCACTCAAGTGGGCTGGGGAGGTTAGAAAGGGGAGTACCACTCAATGTCAATGACAGGAAGAGCTGCCAGTCACAAACTCCAATTACAGACCAAACTACAGAATCCCCCCTGGTGAAGAATCCTCAATTACAGGGCCCAGCAGAAAAAAGATGTACACTGCATCTCCTCCAAGAAATTCATGACCTCTGCCAGTCAGCCAATGAGAAACCCTCATGGCTCTGAGATCTTGCCCTTTTCCAATGGATTGTCTTTCAAAACGACCCCTTCCAATTTCCTCCTTCTGCCCCATGAAGATAACTTTCCCTGGCCGTGTTTGTGGGGTTCACCGATGGTTTGCCTGAACCTTGCTTGTCTTGAATTTCACCATTCCCTGCCATTCCCCACTAAATCCACTTCTCTGCTAGCAAAATAAATTTCGTTCTCAAAAAAGTCTATCGGAAGACACAGGATTAGATCCCCCTTGGCTTGGAACAGCCGTTTCATACCTCAGATGATACTCCACATGCCTTTGGGGAGTAGAGGGATGACTGCAGGCGCTTTCTGGATTCCCACTTAGTTAAGCATCAACAACTCGTATTATGCTGGAGCAATCTAGGCGTTTTGTGGGGAGTGAAGATGGGGAGGGTGGCAAGGAGCTTTGCTTTTCACCCGGCGAGTGCAGCGGGGGCCTGGGGTGCTTGCCACCTGGGTGCTGTCTGCTCCGGGAGGTGGTTCCCGCGGCGGGTGAGCGCGCGAGGGAGACCGCCCGGAGCCGCCCGGGGTTCAAGCCCAGGCCCCGAATGCGGAGGGAGCCGCTGCTCTCAAAGGGAAGTTAACCCCGAGGCCCCCGGAGCCCCGAGAAGGGCGAAACCCAGGAAACTTCCCGGGCGGCTGGCATGAGGAGCTGCCTGTAGAACTATACAGGATCTTTCCTTTGCGTGGGGTACAGGTGCACGAAGCCGTGGCTGGCTGAGGAGTCACCGCCCCTCCCTCCCGCCTCGCCGCAGGACCCCGGGGCGCGGGTTCAAGCTTCTTCCCAGCCCCGACCCACCCCTCCCGCCCGCGCGTGCGCAAGGAGATTCCCAGCTGCCGCCCCTGGAGCGGGAGCGCATCGATCGACTCTGAGCTCGACTGCTCGACTGCTCGACTCGTCGGCGCTCCATTGAGGCGCGTGGAGCGTAACTTCCGGTAGTGGCTCCGTTTCCGGTTTTCGGTTCGTCCGGGACCAGCGCAGGCCTCGGGTGAGTTGGGACGTGTTCTCGGGTTCACTGTTTCCGTCCCCCTGGTTGCCGGCCGCCCCTCGGCCTGACGCCCGCTCGTGGGACCAGGGAGTGGACGCGGCGCGGTTGGTGGGGCCTTCAGGCGTCCCCTCCTGGGTTCGCGGAGGGGTTGGCGAGAGGGTGGGGGGGTTGGAAACCGACGCGCTGGTCCTGTGAGGCCCTCGGATTTAGAAGTCTTGTCTCTAGAGGGGACGGCTGGGATAGGCGGCCGCGTGGCCGCTTCCTGGGGCTTCGGTCGGCCGTGCCTGTGGCTGGGGAGGCAGGAGGCCCCCTTTGGGCTCCAGGCGCCCTTTATCCGGTGCACACCGCCATTGAACCTCGCGTGAGGCCCTTCGGAGCCTCCCCTTGGAGAACCTTGCCTTCAGTTTGACATTTCGCTTGTTTCCGTGACCGCAGCCTTTGCAGGTTTCAGCTAAGAGGGTCGCAAGCCTGAGAAGCGTTACCTTTCCCTTGTTCCCGAACAAATGCAGTGCCGATCTGTAGGCTTCTTCCCTATGGGTTTCCTTTAAAAAATATATATATATCTTATTTATGTATTCATGAGAGAGAGAGAGAGAGACAGAGAGACAGAGACAGGCAGAGGGAGGAGGAGGCTTCATGCCGGGAGCCCGACGCGGGACTGGATCTCAGGTCTCTAGGGTCACGCCCTGGGCGGAAGGCGGCGCTAACTAAACCTCTGAGCCACCCGGGCCGCCCCCCTGTAGGTTTTCTGTCCTCTTCACAGACGGGGGGTTTAAAATGGTGAAATGAAGGAATATGTGGGGCACCCAAGGAAATAAAGCAGAGTCACGGTTCGCAACTAAAAACAAGGTAAAAAATGAAACAGCAAAGTGTGTGTGTGAAAGAAAAGTGCAAACGACGAAGAGACAGACGAGGGCGGAATTCCCAGTCCTGCTGTTTGTTAGCTGTGACGTGGACAGGCCCTCCACGCTAGCCGTTGAGGACAGCTACTCGAAGTGCTCCCTGCCCATATGAGAGCTTTGCTGCGACGTCTTGTCATTTTGTCTCCGAGTTCTAGTAGGTAAATGCTGCTAAACCAGCCCCATTTTACAGCTTTGGGCCTGAGAGTTTAAGGAACTTGCCTGCTGTCAAGCTGCTGGGAGTAAACATAGATAGGATTTGAATTCAGATGAGGTCGGTACTAGAATCTGAGCTCCGTAAGCGTCATGTAGTACCGCTCTATCTGAGCCCCGTGATTTCAAGTGGGCTAGAGGTGACCGTAGAGTCAGGACAGCTGGTGATGGTGTATGTGAATTTAGTAGGCGTGAAAACACTTCCTAAGTGTGGACCCATTAAGTATTGCTTGGTAAACTTCGTTAATATTCTGTCTTAGTGATTTTTACTGGGCACAGATTTGCTAGTTTGTTTCTCATTTTTCTTAAAAATCCAAAGACGGCATTTTAAAATAATTTCATTAAATGGGGCACCTGGGTGGCCCAGTCGGTTAAGCATTGGACTCTGGGATCTCAGCTCAGATCTTGATCTCAGGGTGGTGAGTTCAAGCCCCAATGTGGGCTCCGCCTACCTAAAAGATAAGTGAATTAAATAATTTCATTAAAAACGTTATTTTGTTAGGCAGGTGAAGAAACTATTGCTTGCTGCGTGAAAAATAAATATGAAAATAAATGGATGAAATAATGTTATTAAAATCTGCCTAGGTACTTGGGCTCCACCCATGTTTTGAACCTGAAAACTGTTTTGTTTAAGAAGGAGGGATAGCAAGTGCTGGAGAGGTTTTGAAGACTACCGACAAACTGGAATTTTCTGACATTTGGGATTGAAAGGAAATTGTGTAGATCCCTGTGTTGTATCCTTACATAGTGTGAGTGAATGCTCTGCTTATAACAGTATTTACTGTCTTTTTAGGCAGTTTGAACAGTTTAACTGCAAACATGGATATCAGACCAAATCATACAATTTACATTAACAATATGAATGACAAAATTAAAAAAGAAGGTAAGTGCTTTTAAAAAAAACATTTGTTTACAACCAAAGTGCATTTAATTACTAGCATCTTTAAAATTGTGCTGCTTGAAAACTTCTGATGTAGTAATCTTTGTTAGTACCTGAAATAATGTCTTCTTTCTTTTTTGTGAGGATTTTAAGGCTTTTTAAAAACAACAATAGGTAGGGACTGAAAATCTGGTGAATATGTTTTCACGCATAGATAAAATGGTTTGAAACAACTTAAAATTAGATAGTATAATGTGATTTTATTAAAATATGTAACTTTGTATAAATAAGTATGGTGGGGGGCACTTGGTGCAGTGTCATTGTATAAAGAGATCTGTCGTTTCTTTCACAAATAAATTGTTTTCCCCTCTATTTTTGCTCAGAATTGAAGAGATCCCTATACGCCCTGTTTTCTCAGTTTGGCCATGTGGTAGATATTGTAGCTTTAAAGACCATGAAGATGAGGGGGCAAGCCTTTGTTATTTTTAAGGAACTGGGCTCATCCACAAATGCCTTGAGACAGTTACAAGGATTTCCATTTTATGGCAAACCAATGGTAAGATGATATTATTTTGGTTTGATCACTATTAGTAATATGTTAAGTTCGTAGATACACACTTGAAACTTTGGCCATTTCTTTTTGCTTTTAATTAAGTGTTAAAGCAAGTTTAGGTTTATTTTATTTACACATTTGGGTTTATAGAAAAGTTGTAGAGTTTATAATTCACTAGTTTATGTGAGTTCAGATAGGCAATAGCAAAATATATTGAAGTATACGATGTTTAAAAAATAGTGGCAGTATAGGCAATATTCTCATCTCAGGAACTAGAAGTTAACTCAGAAGATTGAAAAGAAATCTTTGTAAACTTGTAAAACAATACAAAACACAGAAATTATGGGTCAAATAGGAAATCAATTTGAAGTTTCAGAAAATCGCATAGTGAAATACCACATATCAGAAGCCGTCTGGCCTAGAAAAAGCAGTGATCTAAGAAAAATTCATAGTTTTGAATTCATAGGTTTTATTGACGAATAAACAATGAGCAGCATTGAAATAGTTATGCAAAGAAAATTTTAACCTCAGGAATGACATAGTGAGATTCGCATTTAGCTGCTGGGTGAAGACTGGATTATGGGAAGGCTGGGAGGCACTTGGGAACTCAGGAGGCCATTGGTGTAGGCAGAGATGGTAGAAGATTGGATTAGGGTGGAAACAGCGTAAAGCAAGGGGTTCCTACATCTGTGAGTACGGGGTACCTTGGTTATGGATTCCTAGTGCTTTTTCCTGAGACTTGGAATGGGATGAGAAGAAACCTTGAGGAAAGAGCCACGGCGCAGTTTCCCAGGCCGTGCATCCTCATTCTGATTCTGCCATTAACTGGCTGTTTGCCTGTGTTCATCTTTCACTACCTATAAAATGTAAGCCAATTGGCTGTCCTTGAGCTAATTCAGAGGTCAGCAAAAACCATATAGGACTGGGTAGTAAATATTTGAGGCTTTGTGGTCCACGTACAGTTTCTGTCACATATTCTTGTGTCTGTGCATGTTGTTAACAACTCTTTAAAAGTGTAAAAAAAAAAAAAAGTCCTTGATTTATAGACCATACAAAAACAGGCCATGGGCTGGCTGGAGTGTAGTGCCGATAACTGATCTAATCCCTTTATTTTAGAAATGAAGAATCAGGCTCAGCAAGGTTAATTGCCAGACTAGGTTATAATAATATAACATATGGCAGTACAAGGCCTTGAAAGCTAACCTGACACCCAGTATTATGGTTTTCCCCCACCTTGAAACTAGGAGTTGGCAATCTGTCCTAAAGGGCCAAATGGTATTTTAGGCTTTGTGAGCCAAATGATCTCTCCTGCAGCTGTTTAACTCTGCCTTTATGACAGCAAAAGCAGCCATAGGTGTGTGTAAATGAATCATTGTGGCTGTTTTAGCAATATCAAATTAGCAAGACCTAATTTACAAAAACAGGCAGTGTTGCTGTGGTCAGTGGTTGGAGGACCTTTATATATAGCACATTGTTTAGTTCGGGAGTGGGCACTTCTTCTCTGTTACTGGAGCAAGTTTTCCTTTTCTATCCAATTCCCTTTTTCCCGTAACTTCCCATCTGATGGGTACCAGCTGTGTGGAAAGCCTACATGCACTCTTTTTAATAAAAGTTGGAGTTTTCTGAAACCAGTTTGTCTGTCTTAGTAAGTACGAAGAAAAGGCATAATGGAGATTGCAGTTGGCAGGAACATAAGACTGGGTTTTAGTTTAAATTTAAAATTACGTTAATACAGGGGAATGATTTCCTGTAGAGGATTTTAGGGTTGTTTTGTTGAGTTGAAATGACAAGTTTGAATGTGCCTGTTTCTCAGATAAAGGAAAGCTAGAGATTGTTTGCTGTGTTTGGTGCTGGCTTCACTTTGCCAACTATTTTAAATCAATGGAAAAAGTCCAATAGACTGATAATGCATTGAAAGTATTTTTGAGTTCCATTTTCTGCCTTCAGGAAGATAGCAGATACTGCCAGATTTCCAGCATCCTGGAAGAGGAGGAAGAATATTCTCTGAGCTGTCTTGTTCTGTGTTCATTTAGGTGGTTAGTTGCTCCTATGTTTTAACTCCCAACATACCAGATCAGAAACAAGCAAAATTTGCTATAACTTGGAACTTACAACAAAGTTATCCTAATTCAATGATATTTGGTTTTTTAATGCCAAAAACACCTTAGTAATATAGAACCATCTTCCTGTTATGAAACCTTTGACATAAATGTAAGCCTTGCCCCTTTTCTAAGCTGCGAGTGTACTTTTTTTTTTTAATCCCTTATGGGTGTTTAGACCACATTTTTTCAGTATTGGTACTTTTGACATTTTGACCTGAATAATTCTTGTTGTAGGGGGCCGTCTTGTTCATTGTAGTGTTTAACAGCATCCCTGGTCACTGCCACCTGCCAGTAGCATAACAACTCAGAGCATCTCCATTCAATAGCACTAGTTATCCCCTGTGGGCAAAATCACCTGGGGTTCAGAACCAGTAGTGTAGACCAGCCATTTAAGAATGATGATTGAGATCAGAGATTTTCACAAGTGACTATGTGTTAAGGACAGATCACTTAAGATCTGTTCAGGTCAGGGAGAAGGTTGAAGACCTAGGGGAGATGAGAGGGAGTCCTTGGGACCAAGTCAGAATTAGTCTAAGTCTGTTCCTTCTGGTCAGATGGTGACATGCAAAACCAGCAGTTGCTTGCAGGGGTAAGTCCACTTAGGGACCATATGGTATAGCAGTCCAGGGCAGCCAGGGGTACTGAGCTTTGGGTATTGATGTGAAGGACAGCATGCTCCTCCTCTCTATTTCCCCAGTACACTCATCTCTAGCTGAAGAGAAAGACTTACTTTTGGTTTTGGCAGATTTACTGCTTTCAAACCCATGCTACTTTAGAAGGTCACTTCTTTCAGACTGAGAGGAAATTCATATTCTGTAAGGCAATTTTAGATAGTAATTTGTAGGACTCTTGTGTTTTGATATGATCAGAGAGATTGTTTCAGCTCATTCAGCTCCAGAGAAGAAATGCTTCCTAGAAATGGAAGTTGCAGTTTGCAAATAGATACACCCTAGAAAATAGTTTAACTCTTAGCAAAAATTTGGGGATGGGTGCTTGAATCTAGCTGTGTAATAATGCTTTAGACCAGGGCCATGGTATTCAGGGTGTAGGTTCCACCATCCACTTTCTGCTTGTTAGAAGTACAGAATCTCAGGCTTCACTCAGACCTGCATCAGAATCTGCAGTCTTACAAGCTCTCCGTGAAGTTCGGATGCACGCTAAAGTTTATGCTGGCATACTGTTCCTGCTGGCGGCAGGAAGAAGCAGCAGGTGGCCTGGTTGCACTAGCTGCAATGCCATCCTTTGTTTCTTTTCAAAGCTTTTTAAAGTTTAAGTTGTTGCCACTATTAGTCATTGCATTTACAAATTATAGATGGGGTTCAGAGGAAAATCATTCTGACACTTTAGTACTTTAACTGTGGAAATAATAAATTCCGTATGATACATTCCACAACTGATCAATACATCTTGACTCATTGAGCGTCCAAACTAAAGAGTAGACAACTTTCCCGTGCATTTTTCTGTTTTATGAAATTGAGAGCAACATTGGTGCAGATGTTTCAAAGTTCTATTTTTCCCATATGAGAATCTATGGGTTTTCTTCTAATAAGCATAGCACAATTTATTTTCATTTGGTGCTCAGTGTATTTGACAGATTTCCTTAGGGATATGTTTAAACCAGCTTGTCGTGTATTTGTGTAATGAAATTTGAAATATTAATGAAGAGTGTAAACAGCCTTCAGCATAATGAATAGTAACCTGTCTCCATATAATTAAAACAGCGAATCCAGTATGCAAAAACAGATTCGGATATAATATCTAAAATGCGTGGCACTTTTGCTGACAAAGAAAAGAAGAAGGAAAAGAAAAAAGCAAAAACTGTGGAACAGACTGCAACCACTGCAAGCAAAAAACCTGGTCAGGTGAGATGGACAAAGTTCCTAGGTTTGTTGGTGTTAAGAACATGATGGAGATGTCTGTTTTCCACTTAGGGATGGTCTTTGAGGTGTGTGTATGGTGCCTATGTGTGTTTGTTTAAAAGGGACACTTGTAAGAAGCTGGAATCAGTGGAGATCAAAAATTCCAATACTGGGCAGCCCAGGTGGCTGAGCAGTTTAGTGCCGCCTTTGGCCCAGGGTGTGATCCTGGAGACCCGGGATCGAGTCCCACGTTGGGCTCCCTGCATGGAGCCTGCTTCTCCCTCTGCCTGTGTCTCTGCCTCTCATGAATAAATAAATAAAACCTTGAAAAGAAAAGAAAATTCTAATATTTATATTTAAGCACCAAATTAAAATATAAACTTTTATATATGCAGATCTATATTAAACAGTTTTATTTGAATCTGTATAACCTTTTAGTTCCATCATTCTTCAAAATATGTTTTAATATCTTCAGGCTTATTTCTCAAGTTCTACTGCCCATAAATAATGTTGTAGGTATTATCTTTAATTTTGAGTGCTACACACAAAGCTGCTTTCTTTGAACAATTCAGAAATTTAAAAATCTAATTTAAAATAACAGGTAACAGTGAAATTATCATTCAAAAAATAGCTACTTCTGGATTGAAAGTGATTAGAAATCCAGTTCAAAAATTTGACTTTTGTCTAATTGTTTAAAAAAAAAAGAGACTGGTTCTTGGGTTTTGAATATATATTTCTCTATAATTTTATATTTGCATATTATAAATAGTTTTATGTATTTCTCCATAATTTTAGAGATTACAGGTTAAATTTTATGACACAGTCTTTAAAATTTAGACGAGATCTTTCAAAATTAACTGAAAAAGTTTGAGTCAGTAACGATGTAAATTCTTTTTTTTTTTTTTAATTTTATAAATTAATTTTTATTGGTGTTCAATTTACCAACATACAGAATAACACCCAGTGATCATCCCGTCAAGTGTCCCCCTCAGTGCCCGTCACCCATTCACCCCCACCCCCGGCCCTCCTCCCCCTCCACCACCCCTAGTTCATTTCCCAGAGTTAGAAGTCTTCATGTTCTGTCTCCCTTTCTGATATTTCTCACACATTTCTTCTCCCTTCCCTTATATTCCCTTTCACTATTATTCATATTCCCCAAATGAATGAGAACATACACTGTTTGTCCTTCTCCGGTTACTGTGGCCAAGTTCAAAAAGGGTGTTGCCTGAGTTCTCCTCTGGGATTTTGATGGAATCTTGTCTCACATTTAGATCTTTCATCTATTTTGAGTTTATCTTTGTGTATGGTGCAAGAGAGTGGTCCAGTTTCATTCTTCTACATGTGGATGTCCAATTTTCCCAGCACCATTTATTGAAGAGACTGTCTTTCTTCCAGTGGATCGTCTTTCCTCCTTTATCGTATATTAGTTGACCATAAAGTTCAGGGTCCACTTCTGGGTTCTCTATTCTGTTCCATTGATCTATATGTCTGTTTTTGTGCCAGTATCACACTGTCTTGATGAACACAGCTTTGTAGTACAACCTGAAATCTGGCATTGTGATGCCCCCAGATATGGTTTTCTTTTTTAAAATTCCCCTGGCTGTTTGGGGTCTTTTCTGATTCCACACAAATCTTAAAATAGTTTGTTCTAAGTCTCTGAAGAAAGTCCATGGTATTTTGATAGGGATTGCATTATACGTGTAAATTGCCCTGGGTAACATTGACATTTTCACAATATTAATTCTGCCAATCCATGAGCATGGAATATTTTTCCATCTCTTTGTGTCTTCCTCAATTTCTTTCAGAAGTGTTCTATAGTTTTTAGGGTATATTTTGAGAACCATTTGAATGGTAAATGGTTCTCCAACCTTTTATTTTCAGGTTGTAGGTGTCTTTCTGTCTAAAATGAGTCTCTTGTAGACAGCAAATAGATGGGTCCTGCTTTTTTATCCAGTCTGAAACCCTGCGCCTTTTGATGGGGTCATTAAGCCCATTCACGTTCAGAGTTACTATTGACAGATATGAGTTTAGTGTCATCATGATATCTATTTAGTCCTTGTTTTTGTGGATTGTTCCACTGAACTTCTTAAAGGGGAGTTTTAAGAGTCCCCCTTAAAATTTCTTGCAGAGCTGGTTTGGAGGTCACATATTCTTTCAGTTCCTGCCTGTCTTGGAAGCTCTTTATCTCTCCTTCCATTTTGAATGAGAGCCTTGCTGGATAAAGTATTCTTGGTTGCATGTTCTTCTCGTTTAGGACCCTGAATATATCCTGCCAGCCCTTTCTGGCCTGCCACGTCTCTGTGGAGAGGTCTGCTGTTACCCTAATATTCCTCCCCATGAAAGTCAGGGACTTCTTGTCTCTTGCTGCTTTAAGGATCTTCTCTTTATCTTTGGAATTTGCAAGCTTCACTATTAAATGTCGAGGTGTTGAATGGTTTTTATTGATTTTAGGGGGGGATCTCTCTATTTCCTGGATCTGAATGCCTGTTTCCCTTCCCAGATTGGGAAAGTTTTCAGCTAGGATTTGTTCAAATACATATTCTGGCCCTCTGTCCCTTTCGGTGCCCTCGGGAACCCCAATTAAGCGTAGGTTTTTCCTCCTTAGGTTCATTTATTTCCCTTAATCTGTCTTCATGGTTCCTTAATTGTTTATCTCTTTTTTCCTCAGTTTCCCTCTTTGCCATTAACTTGTCTTCTATGTCACTCACTCGTTCTTCCACCTCGTTAACCCTCGTCGTTAGGACTTCTAGTTTGGATTGCATCTCATTCAATTGATTTTTAATTTCTGCCTGATTGGATCTAAATTCTGCAGTCATGAAGTCTCGTGAGTCCTTAATGCTTTTTTCTAGAGCCACCAGTAGCTGTAGAATAGTGCTTCTGAATTGGCTTTCTGACATTGAAGTGTAATCCAGATTTTGTAACTCTGTGGAAGAGAGGGCTGTTTCTGATTCTTTCTTTTGAGGTGAGGTTTTCCTTCTAGTCATTTTGCTCAGTGCAGAGTGGCCAAAAACAAGTTGTATTGGAACACGGGGAGTATCACTGGTCCGTCTAGCTGGTCTTCTGGGGGAGGGGCCTGCTGTGCTGATTTTCAGGTGTTAGGACTTGGGGGAGCTGCTCTGCCCCTGCCTGCTGCCGGGCTCAGCGGGGGTTGTTTACCCCGTCAGGCCCCAGGAGGAACAGCCGCAGTTGCTATGGCAACTCTGGAAGCCTGGATTCAGCCCCTGCAGGAACTACGGGGCTCGGGGCTCTCGGTTCTCCCCTGCAGGGCCTGGAGGCTCCGGGGCGGGGCCGCTGATCTGCTCAGCTCGGGGCAGGAGCGTCCTCGTCCTCGCTGTCCTGGGCCCTCCCGGCCTCTGCCTGTCTCCGGGGGAGGCCGGATCCTGGGCTGTGTCCCCGCGCCCTGTGCCCCGGAGCCTGCGCTGTTGGATTCGCGCTCCCGCCCTGCAGCTCCCTCCCTGGAGCCGCTCCCGAGTCCCTCCGAGTCCCTCCGAGCTGCTCCGGCCCGCCGTGTGCGCTGCAGCCCTTAGGGACCTTAGGGACCTCTCCCGGGGCGCAGGTGCCTGTTAGTGTCCCAGGGAGCCCGAGGGCGTCCCCGCCCTCCTGGGTCCTGCCCCAGCTCCCTGCAAGCCCCTTTCCGCCCGCCCGGGAAGGTTGGTGCAGCTCCTGCTCCTCCTGGACGGGGCTCTCCTGTCCTGGGGACACTCGCCCCGGCCTCAGCCCGGCCCCTCGCGGGGCCCCTCCCCCTCGGAGGCCTTTTGTTTCTTTATTTCTTTTTCCCCCGTCTTCCTACCTTGATAGAAGCGCGAACTCTTCTCACTGTAGCATTCCAGCTGGTCTCTCTTTACATCTCAGGCCAAATTCGTAGATTTTCAGGATGATTTGAAGGTTATCTAGGTAATGTGGGGACAGGTGATTTGGGGACCCTGCTCTTCCGCCATCTTGCCCCTCCCCACGATGTAAATTCTTAATGTAAAATTAAAAGGAATAAGAAATCTTTCAAAAATAATACGGTTTTTTAAAGTTTTTTATTTTAATTACACTATAGTTAGCATAAGTGTTAACATTAGTTTCAGGTGTACAGTATAGTGGTTCAACAGTCCTGTACATTACTTCATGCTCATCACGATAAGTGCCCTCCTTAATCCCTCACACCTATTTGACTCATCCTCCTACCGTCTCCTATCTGGTAACCATCAGTTTGCTCTCTGTAGTTAAGGGTCTGTTTCTTGGTTTGTCTCTCTTTCTTTCTGTTTTTCCTTTGTTGGTTTTCTTAAATTCCGTATATAAGTGAAGTCGTATGGTATTTGTCTCTGACTTATTTCACCAGCATTATACCCCTAGTTCCATCCATGTTTTTGCAAAAGACAAGATTTCTTTTTCTCTCTTTTTTTTTTTAATGGCTGAATAACTCTCCATAGTGGTTATCTATCGATGGACACTTGGGTGGCTATTGTAAATAATGCTGTTATAAATTTAAGGGTGCATACATCCTTTAGAATTAGTGTTTTTGTATTCTTTGGTTAAACATTCAGTAGTGCAGTTACTGGATCATAAGGTAGTTCTATTTTTAATATTTTAGGGACCCTCCATACTGTTTTCCACAATTGCTGGACCAGTTTGGATTCCCACCAACAGTGCATGAGGTTCCTTTTCCTCTACATTCTCCCCAACGCTTGTGGTTTCTTATGTTTCTGATTTTAGCCATTCTGACAGGGGTGTGGTGACATCTCATTGTAGTTTTGATTTGCATTTGCCTGATGATGGGTAATGTTTGTCATCTTTTCTTGTGTCTTTTGGCCATCTGTATGTCTTTGGAGAAATGTCTGTTCATGTCTTCTGTCCATTTTTAGTTGGATTGTGTGTTTTTTGGGTGTTTTATCTGTTTGTATTATACTTTGGATACTTAACCCTTTATCGGTTATGTCATTTGCAAATATCTTCTCCCATTTTGTTGGTCTTTTAAAAATTAATGTTATTTTTATGCAGTTATTAAAATTATAAACCTGCTTTTTTAGAGCAATCAGAAACCTTAAATCTTTTCTATTTTTTTTTTTAGGGAACACCAAATGCAGCAAATACCCAAGGAAATTCAACACCAAATCCTCAGGTAATCTTTGTATCTATGTGGTGCTTGCTTTTTAAAATAAAATTATAAACCAGTGAGAATAATATACAACAACTTGTCACCAAAAACTGAAAATAATTCCTTATATAAGACATTAAATTATATTACACTTTAATATAGGAACTCACTTTTCAAAACATTTTAATTTTTTTGAGGGAGGGAAAAATGAAACCTGACTCTGTTCCTTGCTTTCCATAATGTTTCAGTGATGGAATCAAAATGACAGATTTTGAACTCTGTGAAGGCAGGGAGTGAACATTTTTATTTTCCCTAAAGTACCTGCAAAGCCCAGGGCTTTACAGATGGACAGGTGTGGGGAATTGGCCAGGTAGACGTGCTCTATTTCCATACCGGTTTGCCTAAAGCAGTGAACCATCTTTTCTAATAGAGCAGCGTTGTTTTAGAACTACCATTGATCTGGTTTCTGAGAACAAATACATGTCTCTTTATATAGAGTTTTTAGAAATCTCTTAGCAAATCTTGCTAAAGGCCTCAAGGAGAAAGATTTAGTGGTTCCTCTTGGTTCCTGGGATGCTCAACAGGATCCTTAAGGCCAGAGAATTCCTTGCACCTCAGAGCTTTCCTTCTTCAATTTGAAGTTATGTGTATTTTCCTAATTATCTACCTTTTCCTCCTTTGGAATCTTTCAGCAATTATAGTACAGTTTACAAATGCTAGCACTTATTAATTCTCTAAGCCTTAAGTTATTTTTTACACATCATCTTTTCTCTTTATGAAAGACAGAGAGCCTCTTAGGTACAGGACGACCCTGTCCCTATAGTTCCACATGACCGCAGGTCAGGATATCAGATAATTAGTTTAACATCTGATAATGTTTGTTTCTACTTATTTGGGAATAACTAGATGCTCTGTATATCTCATTTACTTGGAGAAAAGGTTAAAAGTCACCAAGTAGTGGCTTTAAATGGTAGTTCTAAATTTTGTTAAATGCTGGGAGACTGTAAACAATAATGCAGAGGATTAAAATCTGAGTGTTATTATTCAGGTAACCAGCTGAATATGGGTGATGCTGCTGCCTTCTCTAGTTTTGTTAGGATCTTTCAGTTATGTAACCCAGCTGACAGAGTTCTCCCATTACAACTGACTCCTGATGCTTAAAACTTAAATATTGTTTTAAATACTATTAAATACTTTCAAGTTAATTAGTTTTGTAATTGTCCAGATTTGTATCAGGTGATTTGAGTGTCTGCTGAGTTACCGTTCAGTTTATGTTAATTTCTCTGGTGTCCTTGTTTTTCGACTTTAGTGTTTGATGTAGTGCTACGATTTCATAGTCCTTAATAAACTGGAATGTCGCTCTCTGAAGTTCAGATTTTAATATAAGAGCTAAATGGCTTACTATACTTTTTGTACTTAAAAGCTAACTGCCTTTTTTCTTTATAATAGGTCCCTGATTACCCTCCAAACTATATTTTATTCCTCAACAATTTACCAGAAGAGACTAATGAGATGATGTTGTCTATGCTGTTTAATCAGTAAGTTTTTTCAGAACCAGTCTGTGTTGTGAAAGCCTCCCACCAGGACAAATAGCACTTCTGTGGGTTAAATCCGTTTGTGTATCACACAGCAGTAATTCCTATAGGTTCCTTGATTTGGTCTGGGATTAATCATGTGAGTTGAAGCCAATCTGCAGATTTAGCAAATAAAAAGCTAAATTACCTCTGATGTTTGAATAATTCTAATTGGTAAGTAAAACAAGAAATAAAGCTTAGATACAATGACAAGATTGAACTAGCTTATATTATACCTACATTTTTTCATGGTATTATTTATATTTTAGACTCTTTCACTCTATTCAGGATTCTTGGTAGGATATGATGCTTTTCCTAGACTAGTATCAGAAAGTTGCTTAACAAATTTAAACACAGAATAGACACTTATGTATTTGATATCCTTTATATATTTACATATATAAATTATTTCTCCTCTTATAGGTTTCCGGGCTTCAAAGAAGTACGTTTGGTACCCGGAAGGCATGACATTGCTTTTGTTGAATTTGAAAATGATGGACAGGCTGGAGCTGCCAGGGATGCTTTACAGGGATTTAAAATCACACCGTCCCATGCCATGAAGATCACATATGCCAAAAAATAACATATGGCATAGTTGTCTTTAAAGGACTTGGTGTTATTTAAAGTGTTTGTTTTGATAACATTTGGTCAGGCCATTTTGAATAGTTGGGATGTGGGTGAGTGAAAGAAATTTTTGTGAATTTTAAAAAATAACTTAGTTTTTGTTTAGCCTTATTGAGCTATGAAATATGAAGGCCTCAATTTTGTACAATAAACTTTGATTTGTATTCTATACATAATTCTACATTTATTCCATCGTCCTATCACCAAATGTTTATGCTAGTCTAGAGCACCTCTTAAGATATATAAAACTAATAAGATGCTTTCCTAGTATTATTTTGGAGCAACTAATGGCAGAAACATTTTTTTTTTTTTTTAAGAATTTATTTATTAGAGAGCATGGGTAGGGGGGAGAGACAAACGGAGAGGGAGAGAGCGAATCCTGAAGCAGAGTTCTTGCTGGGCAGGGAGCCCAATGTAGGGCTCCATCCCAGGACCCTGGGATCATGACCTTAGTCAAAATCGGATGCTTAACGTACTGAGCCCCCCATGTGCCTCCATTGAATCCTTTTAATAAAAGAGAATTGGATCAAGCTCTTGATTACATTTTCTGTAGTTATTTAATTTTTTTATTCAAACTACTACCCTGGAGGGTTTTTTGTTGTTGTTTTTGTTGGTGGTTTTTCTTTTTTTTTTTCTTTATTTCTTTTTTTTTGTTTTTTGTTTTTTTTGTTGTTGTTGTTGTTTTGAGTTGTATTACTGGTAAAAACAATGCCCTAGGTGTTAGGGGGAAATGAGACCTGGGCAGTATCTAAATTTTAATTTATACCTAAGGCTATGATTCAGGCATCTTTAGAAATGGACAATTTTTTGCATGTACAGTAAATTGACCATTTTTCTGTTTCAGTATTTCCTTGAACAGAAGTTTGAATTTGTATTCATTGTATACTTAATGGGAAGACTACTTTTAGACTAATGTAGATTTTTGTCCCATCACTCTTATGAATACATAAGGAGGAAAAAGCAAAATAGTTTTTTTTCCCTAAAGCTGCCACATTTAGAATCTGACTCTTACTTGTATAACTTTAACTTAGTTGTCAATTTCATATACTCCTGTAAAATGTATTAATTACTAGAAAGAGGACTGTGCTCTTGGGATGTTAGAGCAATGCCAGTTGGCTATTGCATTTTCTACTTCCTTACTCTCAGGGACTGTCCTTACCTTGTCTCTGAAAAGATTTCACAGATGCCCCTGCTTTGAGTGTCTGTATGAGAGGAAGTAGAAAGGTCAATATGGCTGGAGTGGGGAGAGGAGGGTGAGGGGGATATATAGGTCTTTTTAAGGACTTGTAACATAAACTCTGAAATGGGAAACTCGAGATTTTTTAAAATTTAGTTACAATAAAATTCATTTTTAGTGGTTTTTCGTGAGTGACCCAATTTGATGAGTTTTGACAATTGTATACAGTTGTGTAATAACCATAATGAAGATACAGAGTATTCCATCACCTGTCTGAAAGGAAGGCTCCCTTTGCAATCATCTCTTCACCAGCCCCCAACCCCACCCCTGAACCTAGGCAACCACGTTCTGTTTTCTATCACTATAGTTGTACCCTGTCTAGAATGCTTTTGGGGGTGTCTGGCTGGCTCAGTCTGTGGAGCACACAACTCTTGATCTCAGGGTTGTGGGTTTGAGCCCCATATTGGGTGTAGAAGATTACTTAGAATTTTAAAAACATTGTTAGAATGCTTTTGAAGTTCATCTCTATTGTGTGCAACAGGACAGTTGTAACGATGGACAGGCATTTGGGTTCTTTTAATTTGGGGCTGTATAAAGAGCTTATGAACATTTACATGCAAATCTATGGACATGTTCTGTCAGAAGATTTTGATCACAGGAGTGACACCTGATTACTTCTGAAAGCTTTTTATTTTGATACAATTTTCAATTCATATCAAAAATGCAGAAATCGTATGCAGCTCCCACAAATGTTTCTGAACCATTCAGAAATTCTGCTGCCTTGATCCTCTATTACCCCTTAATATTCAGTGTGTGTTTCCTAAGTACAAGACCACTCTGCTGCAAGACTAACTGCCATAGGACCAGCAAAATCAGGAAATAACATTAAGCCAGCATTCAATCTTAGATTTTGCTCATGTCCCAAAAATGACCCATAATTCCAATCCAGGATCATGCCACATGCATTGTCTCTTCAGTGTCCTGTCTGTCCCTTGGCCTGTCCTTACTTTTCATGATCTTACTGGTATGTAGAGATATCTCTATGTCTGCATTTGTGGCTGCATCTATATAATTATATTAAAGAATGTATAGCAGTACCTCTAACTGCAATCGGACAACACAGTTTATTCTGGGTTTCCCCCTTTCCTTCCTTGTAACTTCTCCGCTCCCAGTGATGGATGCATTTACTTATTTGCTTAAATCTCCTGGAATGTAATCAAACTCTGGAAAGCAAGGCTTCAAGAGGGAAAAGGGTAAGAGAAAAGGAGCTAAGTCCACTTTGAAGATGGGATGAAGCTGTGATCTTCAGCCCTTCCTCCCCTTCCCAGTCTGGGAGTTGCCAGGAGTTTCCAACGAAGTAGACGATGTGCCCATCTCATGTAGTGGTTCTCAACTTCTCAGTTTAAGGCTGCAGATTGTTTCCAAGTGCCCACATCTCATCTACACCCTGTATCAATTAAATCTCAATCTCTAGGTGTGAAACCCAGTCAGCAATATTTTTAAGGTCCTTAAGTGATTCCAATGTGAGCTAAGAACTAACAAAGCAGATTTCTATGTTTCAAAATAGGTTGTAATGATTAGTTCAAATTGTATTTTTCAAAGGCAGCACATTGATGAGTAGAAGATGGTGCAGGAATGGAAAGTGTGCAGGACGCCTGGGTGGTTCAGTTGCTTGTGTCTTGTCTCTTGGTTTCGGCACAGGTCATGATCTTGCGGTTGTGGGATCGAGCCCCTGCATCAGGCTCTGCTCTGCAGAGTCTGCCTCAGATTCTCTCCCTCTTGCTCACACTCACTCTCTCTCAAATAAATATATAAATAATCTTAAAAAAAAAAAAAAAAAAGGAAAGAGTTGCAAGAGGCTCACATCTCCATTTTCAACTTTAAGGCTTTAAGTATAGTCTGTTGGGTAAATTTAGCAAGCATTTTGTCCTTGGGAATATTGTATCCCAGTAAAGATCTAATGAAGACTGTGAAGCCCTGGCTTAAAACGTGCGCTGTAATTGATTTGCCCTTGAGCTGTACTTCTCAAACTGTCCTGTTCTTCCAAATCACTTACATAGTTTGTTAAACTGTAGATTGATCTAGTAGGACTGGGGGGAGGGGTGGGGTTTGAGAGGCTTTGTAAAGTGACGCTGAAGGTGCTGGGTTGGGGACCATGCTTTGGAGGCAAAACCTCAGTCTCTGCCCTGATGGCTTAGTCTTGATTAGGGCGTGTTATGAACCTCTTGAATCTGGTAAAACCTAACAGCCTTCCTCAGGGAAAACAAAAATAAAACCAAAAGCATTCATGTATACACCTAAACATACAATTTCAATGAATATCTATTTTTGAGTACTAAGGGTTTTTCTAGGTGCGAATAATGATAGAGCAAAGAGAAAACTAGACAAGTTAGACAAGTCTCCACCTCCTGGAGCTTTCATTGTGGTGTCTGGAGACAAATCATCACCATGTAAACAGATAAGGCCTGTCAGGTAGTGACAAGTGATGAGGCAGGGCACCGTGGTCGCACGATGGACAGATTGAGCTGAGGAGTGCAAGAAACCAGTCTGTCTGAGGAGACATCTTGTCCAGGGCCCTGAGTCCAAGGCTATGGAGCAAGAGCTTTCCCGGCATTAAATAAACTCCGGAGGGCCGGAGGTAGAAATGAGCTTCGAGTTTTCCAAAGACAGAGAGCAGCTGGTATGGCAGGAACAGAGTGGGTGAGGCAGAGAGTGACAAGGCGGTGACTTGAAGGAGCAGAGAGACCATATCGCGCAGGGCCTTGTAGGTCACGGTGGCTTAGGAGGCTGCTTCCACCCTATCCCTGCCTAAACCCATTGTTCAAACCTTAAAGGAGCCCCTACCCCCGTTTTAAGAACTACAGATCGAGAACTAATTCAGGAAGGAGAGCAGAAAAAATGTCATTTGGGGATTAAAGGCTCAGAGAATGCACTGGAAAATCCAGAGGAAGGAGGTGAGCCTGCTCAGGACTGAGCCCCTCCCCGGACCCCCAATATCTTGCAGGGCTCCAGGTCCAACTGCTCACTATTGTAACTTTAAGTTCCAAATTGCAAAACATTAGTTTCCATCCCATCTCTGCATCTCTGCCCGCAGCAGAAGGCTAGGACATCCCAGGCCTGCTGCAGATGCTCTTAGATGGCTTAACATCTCTTTTCTTTACTTCTCCACCTTCCAATAACCAATAATGGCTTGGTGTAGCACCAGCCTTAGTTTGCTAAATTGCTTTGATGGCTTGGTGGTGGCTTTATTCCACGGTTGACTCTGCCTCGGGGGCGGGGGGTGGGGGCGCTTGGACACAGTGTGGCAATCTGAGTTGGTGCAGTCCCCGTTTCTGCTAAGTGCCTCTTAAATGGCAATTGTCTTTTAACTTTCCTGTGTTGAGGGCTGGCTTGAGACCATCACAATCTGTAAAACAGCTGCCTGATCAGGATTAAGAACATTTAATCAATGCTTCAGTTTTCCCAGAGACCCTCTTGGGTTCCTAGATTATAGGAAGGAAAAACACACTGGCAGCCTGCTTTCAGAAATATTTTCTAATTTATCCTTTCCTCGAAGTGAGACAGGAAATGATGAATTTAAAATCTCAATTCCGGGGCGCCTGGGTGGCTCAGTTTGTTAAGCATCTGCCTTCAGCTCAAGTCATGATCCCAAGGTCCTGGGATCAAGTTCCACATCGGGCTCCCCATTCAGCTAGGAGCCTGCTTCTCCCTCTCCCTCTGCCTGTCACTTCCCCTGCTTGTGTGTGCATGCGTTCTCCATCTCTCTCTCTGTGTCAAATAAACAAATATGTAAAACCTTAAAAAAATAAATATATAAAATTGCAGCATGCGTGCAGCTACCAAACACTTGAAATGTGGCGAATGCAGTGGGAACATGGAACTTCTCATTTTTATTTAATTTATTGGTTTAAATTTTTAAACTATACTCAATTGGTACTGGAAAACTTTTCAATGTGTTTGGAATATAGTTAATATGAGAATCTATTTTTCAACTATAAATTTTATAAAATCAAAACACTGATCAAGTGTATCTTATACAAATTTAACATCTGAATTGAGATACATTGTAAATGTAAAATTCATGAGTGTCAAGGACTCATAAAAGAGTATAGGGCAGCACGGGTGGCTCAGTGGTTTAGTGCCTGCCTTCGGCCCGGGGATTGATCCTGAAGACCCAGGATCAAGTCCCACATCAGGTTCCCTGCATGGAGCCTGCTTCTCCCTTTGCCTGTGTCTCTGCCTCCCTCTTCTCTCTGTGTGTGTCTTGCATGAATGGATGAATAAAATCTTAAAAGAAAAAAAAAAAGCACCCTCCTCCAAAATTTAAAAAAATAAATAAAAAATAAGGAATATAAAATACTTTGGTAATAATTTTTATGTTGATTATGTCAAAGTGGTAATTTTTTATATAATAGTTTAAATACAGGGTAGTGTTAAAATTAATTTCAGCTATATCTTTTTATTTTTTTAATGTGGTTATTAGAAAATTTTAAATCCCTACTATGTGGCTTGTACTATACTTCTATTAAACATTGCTGACTTAGACTAACACCTAGCAGCACTGGACCCAGTCCTGCTGGAGAACCTTTAGATAGGGTGCTTAAGACAGGTGGCTCTGGCCTTTGCTGGGCTGTAGTTTCTTCACCCATAATGAAGATATTGAATTAAACAAGCTTCCAAATCCAGGCCAGCTGTATAAAAGATTGTCCCCTAAAATTACACACACATAGTCACACCCCCACCTCCAAATAAAACCTTTTTTTAAAATAGTACTATATTTGGCTTTACCGGTTTATCCTCAGTTTTGTACAAAATTATTTTGTAAGTTGAATGCTTGTCCTCATCTTGGGAGGTGACTATTTTGGGGGGAGGGAGGAGGAGGTTCGGCTCTGAAATCTCATCATCACCAAGTTTACAGAGCATCCTGACAGAGACCTCTATTCTAGAAACAATGAGGGGGGTTGTGAATCTTATGAAAGAAATACCAGCCCCAAACACTAGAAAAAGCAGCAGCCTACTTTCTGTCTTTCCTCATAGAAAGGAAATCTTTGGGGGCAGGGAATTTTTTTATTCATCGCTGCATCTCTAGTGCCTAGAACAGTGCCTGGCACACAGTAGGTGCTCAATAAATATTTGTTGAATCGGCGGAGCTGCATATTGGCACTTGAAGTGATTTCTAGCAGCGCCCCTCTGTCCATCGGAAAGATTCCTGGAAGCAGGGAGAGGCTCCTACCCAGGAGCATTTTGAGATTGAATTTCAAATGTCCCAGAAATGAAAAAAAGATTGTTCCATTCTTTCCAACTCACCTATCTCTTCCTTTCCGCATTGATAGGGTCTAGATGTGTGGTAACAACTCATGTGTTACAAACCATGTGTGCCTCAGAACAGACTCGACTTCCAAATATCCTATCATGGCTGATTTGTAAGCTTAAGCATCCTTGATTTAGCTATTAAACAAATCCACATGTTTATTAATTGAATTTGTTTCAAGGAAAATTATGTGTCCTAAGGATATCAATCTCACAGTTTCAGCAGATTCCTATAGTTAGTACATCTTTGCTCATAAGTTGAAAGAAATGAAAATTGAGCTTAAAAATTGTTTTAAATGATTCAAAATTCTGATACTTCTTTCCACAATGCCCTGCTAGTGCAAAAATGCCACAGCTGAAGTGGCTTTACCAGTGGTGGGCTGTCTTGGATATCATTTGTGTTTTTTAAAAAAAAAAGACACTGAGTTTGAGTCTCCTTGGAAAAACAGATGCAAATTAGCCCCTGGAGCCCAGCAGCTGTTATGAAAGCAGAGGACTGGTGGGCTCCTTCCCATTGGCTGGGGGGGATTTACCCAGATGTCTGGCTTCCACATAAAAGATAGGAACCACTGCAGTCAGTTTCCACTTCCAGTTAAAGGACGACAGCAAAAACAGCAAAAAAAGGAAGATGGCCAGACTATTATTACTTTTCCTCCCAGGTCTTGTGGCCATATGTGCCGTGCGTGGAATATTTATGGACAGACTTGCTTCCAAGAAGCTCTGTGCAGATGATGAGTGCGTGTGTAAGGACATTTTTATGTCTTTTGTTATTTTTCTATTTATATAATTGAAAAAAAGCTGCTAATAGTCAAAAATCTGATTGGGCTTTAAGTGAATCTTCTCTAATGTCTATGTCGTTAGCATTGCTTCTCCTGGTCTGTACCTCTATCTTACTACGGAGAATTCTCTTGGTTAAGATCCTGTTGGGTGCAGCTCTCATACCATGGCTATGGCACTCTTCTTCAACTGAACAGGAGCTGTAAACTGAGAGTTATTACTCACTCTGATTTCCTAGTTTTCTGATATGCTTGGCCTTTTTACTGTTAGAAAAGCTAGGAGACTAAAATGTAGTCATTTCAATGTGTGTTTTTTTTTCTTCCAGATACTATTTCTCTGGTCAGAGCTCAAGAAGATTACAATGCCCCAGACTGTAGGTTCATTAATGTGAAAAAAGGACAGCAGATTTACGTTTACTCGAAGCTGGTAAAAGAAAATGGAGCTGGAGAATTTTGGGCTGGCAGTGTAAGATGAGATCCTTACAAATATGCACACATCTTGACATATGTTGCTCTTAATTTTTTCTCTATGACCTACCTTCAATACATTTTAGTCTTTAAAACTAGCTCTTAAGAACAATGTAGAGGTTGTAAATGCAAGTTGCACAAATTCACATGTATTTGCTTTTCTTGCACGTTGAAAAAACAAAATTTCCTAACAAGACCAAACACAGGTTTATGTGATGTGTTGGCAAGAACTAGGCAATCACATGGGGACTCGAACATCCCAAAGAGTTTGAAACTTACTCAAATGTTTGAAAAGGTTTGCCAAGTAAAAGGCATGCGTGTTGGCAGCCAGTCTCCACTTCAATATTTTAAAGGAAACCAATACCCTCTTCAGTTCCAGAGAATCTGCTTTCTTCAATGAGAACCTGCTGGGGTAGGCCCTCCGGAGGGACGAGGCAGGGCTGATTTCCTGTCTGCATTTGCAGATCCACAGATAGATTCTCAAGTAATGAAGAATTAAATCTTAAATTCACTCCAGTATCTGTGCCCTTGAATTTTTAACGATTGAGAAATGCCAGTTCTTTAAAATACAAGTATCTATTTAGTTTCTTTTTTTTTTTAATCGACCGACTTTGTCTATGGGTTCCAAAAAGATTTTGGGTGGCTCACAAGATTGCATAAAATAAATGCTCAATGAGACTGGGAAGAACAGGCCGCAGAAGAGCAGATACACACTTTCTGTGGGTTGACTTAACTGCTGTGAATGAACTTCAAATTCGGGTCTGAGGCCCCTGGAGCCGAGTAGAAAAGTGAGGTATTGCCATTATGTAATTCTCATTAACAGCACATGTGATGCCAGAGGGTTTCTAGAAGTGGACTCACATCAGCAATCCCCTGACTGTTACTCTTCTGGGTGCTCAGGTTTATGGAGATGACCACGAGGATGAGATGGGAGCCGTGGGCTATTTCCCCAGCAGCTTGGTGGAGGAGCAACACGTGTACCAAGAAGCCACCAAGGAAGTCCCCACCACGGTAAGTGTCTCAGAGCAGGCCAGAGGAGGCCTCAGACTCTGGGGTCATGCAGGTGTCAACAGTGCATCATGTCACTTACAAGACGTATGGAGCAAACCCCTCGCCTTGCAGTGGGTGCTTCCCTGAGACTGGGAGCTTTGGGAGAGCATTTACCCCTACTCTAGGGTTGAAAGGTTACTGGACTTTCTCCACTGGCCTCCTTTGGTTTTTAGATCCAAATTATCCTGTTAAAGAGTCCACATCACAAAGAAAAAAACTAAAAAGTATTAATGGACTCTTAATTGATGTGCATTTATTTACTAAAACACTTGGGCTGGGAAAAAAATTGGTACCTGTATTTAATTGACTCAAAACATCCTAGAAAAAAAAATCTTTAGATACTTTATTTCTGTGGTAGATTCTACTTACGTTTGAAAAAGAAATTATGCTCTTTCCAATGCCCTGGGGTCTTGTGAACCCCAGAAGAGAAATAAAATATCCCCTTTGAGCTACTTTGCAGGATGGTTGTTTTGAAGAGCTTCTCCTAGAACTAATTGCTGCGTGACATAATTCAAAACATTGCCCAGCCCACACGAACGGGACTCGCCTGTCATCACTTCTGAGCGTTGAGCTTGAAGGTGTCCAATAACCACAAATTAAAAGTGTATTTGAGAACCTTCATTTTTAAGTAGTTTTTGACTTAAAGTGATAATTAGATCATATTCTTTGGGGTTCAACCTTATTTAAATTCCAAACTTCCCTTTGATTACCCATGATTTTTAAATAAAGAAACTTACCTTTGTTTTCAGGCCCTGTCGCTCAGTTCAATCTTGTTTGTTTGTTTTCCAGGACATTGACTTCTTCTGTGAGTAAGAAATTAGACAAACCTACAAATAGAAAGGAAAAACTAAAAAGAAAAAAAAAAAAAGTCCCTAATTCCTGACTTTTGTTTCAAGGCTGTGTTACCTTACAGGCCGGCGGGGCCTTCAGCATCAGAGGTAGCAGATGGCAGAGGGGGTTCCACTCAGTTTTCTGCTGGCCTGGTCTTCCCACCACCTGGGCAGGGTGAGGTTCAACTCAAGTGGGAGAACTGAAAGCAGAAATTATGTTTCAGCCTAGAGAATCTTCTCTTCCACAGGGCTGCATACAGATGATAGTACATTTGTATGACTTCTAAATCGTTCTCGCCAGCTCTTTGGCTCCTTATACAAACTTGGTAGGTCACAGGTCTTCCCTTTGGAAGTGCTGTTTTGTAATTATTTGTCTCACTGGCCATTTGGAGTGTTATAATGTACCCAAAGGGGCTAAATCCTCAAGGAGTACTCTAGGATTGTTGTTACTTTTAATATTTGATGCCTTTGGGTTGTGAAACTAGTGGCAGTAGAGGAGCTGTTTGGACTCATAGATATTTAGACTATGCCTTTTGTTTTTAAAAATAAATCACAAGTTATTTCAATTGAAATTTATCTTCTAATGACCAATTTACCTCTCCCCAAATTTTAAATATGTGTGTATGTAATAAGGATGGAGCAGCTTATGAAATATTTGTAATGGAATAGTTTCCCCTTTCATATGTGCTGTTACTGCAAACATTCGAGCTTCAAGTTCAAAGACTAGGTGTGGGGGGTGGCACAGAAAGTCTGTGGGTTGTTTCTCTACTTCTCTTTCAACTTTGAATATCCTCTTCCTGTGCAAATTCCCCCAGTCAAGGATAATGTGTGAAGCAATCTGGTAAGGGGATTGGTGGTCCCAATGGATGTATAAATTTTTCTACATTTAATTGGATATTTGCTTTGATTGTGTATTCCTTGTATAATTCTTTTTATGTAGTCATGAGTCTTTGTTTACATGTAATTAAAATGCCTATGCTCAAAACAATTCCCAATTTCTGACTTTTCACCTTGGGGTGTCAAAAGTCATGGAGAAGCTTGGAAGTGGGGTTAGTCTTCAGTTTTCTGTGGTCTGTTCATCCCTCCAGCATGAGGAGGTGGGCATTTAGGACAAGTTGGAGACTGGGACCAGCCAGGGTCGTTTTCCCAGCGCTGTCCACTGTGGTTTGGGGTGAATATGTTTTTGCCAAATTCCTATGGGATTCCACCATGTGAAATGGTACTCCAAAAGAAGCCCCCTCAAATCCAAACCTACCAGTCCACTGTCTCTGTCTTACTGTACTCCATACAATGTTTCAGGAAGCATCTAGGGTGGTCAGCACAATTTTAAGGTAAGAGGCATTTGATCTACCTCTGTTTCTATCTGCCTCTCACTTGCTGGCTTCTTTAGTCCAGGTACCCCATTATCCCTCGAGACACCCAGCACCCCCATGGCACTCCCATGGCCAAAGCCCCCATGCATCTGGCCTCATGCTTCCAGCCTTCCTCCCCAGGCACAGGGCTCTGGGCCACAGTCCCTCCTGGCAGCACCTGGCTCCCACTCACCAGAACCAGTCTCAGCCAGGACTTTTGAGGTCACTGATTGGTTTCCATCTCCTGGGGGCCTAGCTGCATCCACAGAACAAAAGCACCTGCAGGAACTTTTAAACACCGTCTAGCCATTCGTAGATAAAGTGCCACCCCTGACCCAGCGGCAGCTTGGGCCTCTCCTGGGAGCTGGTTGGAATGTAAGGGGCACGCTGCAGACTCTCTGAATCACAATCTGCATTTTAACAAGACCCCAGACTCGAGATCCATGTATGCATTGTAGGGCAAAAGAAACCTCCTTCTACCCTCCTTGGATCTCTGGCGAGGCCTCAGAATTAAACTGACATAGACAGATTATCAGGAGAAAAGCATGTGTGTTGAATTTAATATTTTTACATGGAGATGGGAATCTTCAAAGAGAAAATGAAGACACAAAGAAGCCATTAGAGCCACATGGCTATATACCTTTTCAGACAATGAATAATAAATTGTGTACATGACAAGACAAAGTGGCTCGGACTCAGGACAGTAAATTGTGGCCCAGTGACTAGGAATGTACAAGGAGACCTGTGGAAGATAAAGGTGATTTCAGCAGGTTTGTTTGTACAGGCCCATCCCAGGGCCAACTCCCAGTGCCCAGTGATAAGAGCATTCTCTTCCCAGCACACGAAGGGCACCTTCCTCGTGGGAAATTTTATGGCCTGTTTTAGGGCAGAAAGGGGGAGGTCAGAGAGCCCTTCTGGCATCTGTGCTTTCTCAACCGCATTCAGCTCAAAATGATCAATATGCCACAGTGACATCTTTTGGGGTAGCGTGCTCTGAATCCCTTGGACATGAGAGGTTATGAGAAACACTGATTTTAGTTCTCTCCTCTCATCTGACACATAAATAAATGAAAAAAGCTTGAGTACCTGAGAGTTGATGCAGCTCTCCCAAGGTTAAACAGGCAGGGTTTCAACATTCCTTTTTTTTTTTTTTTTAAGGATTTTATTTATTTATTCATGAGAGACACACAGAGAGACAGAGACACATGTTTAGGGAGAATCAGGGTCCCTGTGAAGAGCCCGATGCGAAACTCGATCCCAGGACCCCAGGATAATGACCTGAGCCAAAGGCAGATGCTCAACCACTGAGCCACCCAGGTGTCCCAGGATTTCAACATTCCTAACCTGGTATCCCTACCCCATGTTGCAGATACTGGCTCAGTAAGACTGCTCGTCTCTATGTTAGAGGAAAAGCAACCTTGGGGTGGAGAAGTGAGAATCTGGGGGGCAATGAGGCCTTCTAGGACCCATTCCCACTTGGAGAATCTTCCTTCCCTCCCTCAAGGAGCAAGGATATCTTATACCTCGAAGAGGTTCTCAATCACTGACATTGCTGCTTGGCAACCTCAGGAGCTCAAGAAATCTGAGACTAGGCCCTAGGAGGGCATGGGGAGACAGGGAAAGAGGCAGAGCACTCCAGATGGGGAGGTGGCAGTTTCCTGAAGCAAGGGACATAACACGAGGTTTGTTGTGGCGGCTGCAAGGCTGTTCGGGTCCACTTCGAGGGTCAACTGTTGGTCACGTCCTCTCTAGGACCTCCCCCAACAGACATTAAAGAAAACAAAAAACCCCAAACAACTGGGCCTAGGGATTCCTGAGGGAATTCCAACTTGTAGGTTTCCTCTGTACTCCCAAGCTGAAGGGGTGTGTGTGTGTGTGTGTGTGTGTGTGTGTAGTGTGGTGTTTAAATTGTTCTATATAGTTGTCCTGTTTCCTCTTGGGAGAGAAATAAGGATTTCACCGTCCTTTATGTATATACAATGGAACATTCCTCAGCTACATAAAAGAATGCAATCTTGACATTTGCAACCACATGCATGGAGCATTATGCTGAGTAAGGTAAGTCAGGCGAAGGCGAACACCAATATGATTTCACTTATGTGGAATTTACGAAACAAAGAAACAAAGAAAAAGGAGACAACCCAAAACACAGGCTCCTTTTTTAAAAGGACTTTTAAAGTCTTTTTCCAAAGACTCTTAACTATAGAGAATCAAACTGGTGGTTGCCAGAGGGGAGGTGGTGGGAGGTGGGGGAAGTAGGTGCTGGGGATTGAGAGGACGCTTACCGTGGTGCACCCTGAGTGCTGTACACAGCTGTTGACTCACTGTGCTGTACACCTGAAACTAACTTAAAAAAAAATAGAATTTCCTCATCCCTGACCTCACAGAACTTGGGAGACAATATGCACAGTGGCCACAGGTAGTCGAGGCAGGTAGATTTCAGGAGCCAATTTAGCGCGAATAGTGAGAGTTGGCCTCAAGCAGATCTACTCGATGGGGTTAGCAGAGCAAGATGAGAGAAGCGGTGAGGCCCATCAGAGGTGAGAAGAGTCGGGGCATGGTAGACACCAGCAGGCAGTAAAAAGAAATGTAATCTTGTTTAAGGGAACTGTGTAATTGGTGGCTCAGAGGGGTCCAGGGGACAGAGCCCGGGGCACCGCAGAGCAAGGTGGGCTGTTGCTCCTAGGCAGGCCGTGCATGCTTGAGTAAGGTTCTGACCTTGCTGGAGCTCGGTTTTCTTGCCTATCAATGAGGTAAACAGCATCTTTCTTGCTGGGTTGTTGCGAGGCATAAATATAATGTGGGGTGGAAAAAAAAGGGGGGCAGCCTGGGTGGCTCAGCAGTTTAGCACAGCCTTCACCCCAGGGCATGATTCTGGAGACCTGGGATGGAGTCCCACGTCGGGCTCCCCGCATGGAGCCTGCTTCTCCCTCTGCCTGTGTCTCTGCCTCTCTCTCTCTCTCTGTGTCTCTCATGAATAAATAAATAAAATTTATAAATATATATATATATATATATATATATATATATATAATGTGGGGTGTAAAATAGAACACAGGGGGCTCTGGGAGTGGGACCCCTAAATGGCAGCCAGTAATATCTGATGCGGGGGGTTGGAGGGAGAATGGACTTCCCTCAAGGAGTTGTGCTGTAATCTGCCAGATGCTTCACTGGTAAAAAAATATAATTTCCCATTCAGGCCATCTGGAATTTCTAAATCAAAGATATTTCCAGATTGCATACTTTTTTTTTGTTGTTTAATTTATTAAAAAAAAAAAACCTGAAATTACCTGAAATAAACCATTAGCAATTTGGTGACATGGTACAGAGTATATGAGTGTAATTTTGATGAGTGGTCCACAGGCCCTCATTCACCCCGATGTGTGAGGGCCACTCGCATCCCACTAGGGACCACCACACCTTATAAGAATCAATATATTGGGTTCTCTCTATATTTTTTACCTTTGAGACCTACAGCCAGATGGGTGTCAGTATGTAGATTAATCATATTGAGGCTCAACAAGGTTGCATTGTCTCATTTGCATAAAGCCATCCTAGCAAGGATGTCAATAACAACATCTCTTGGGAAACCCATTATTATTTTGGAAGGGAGGAGGGGCGGAGGGAGAGGGAGAGAGAGAATCCTGAGCAGGATCCGTGTGCTGAGGGCACAGCCCCAGACAGGGCTCCATCTCACAACCCCAAAATTACAACCTAAGCCAAAATCAAGAGTCAGTCACCCAAGCAACTGAGCCACTCAGGTGCCACAGAGTATGAGATTTCTTATTGGCTACATCTTTGTTATGTTAAACGATCCTACAATAAATACAAGTGATTTTTATAAATACAAGTCGTTTTGGCTATAAGTGGTGGTTTCCCTATATTATGTTGAAGCCAAAGGACTGACTGTAATGTGAATTGTTGTAGACTTGAGACCCCTTGGGGCTCTGGCGCGCCATGTGGCATGAAGGCTCAGGCTTCTGTCATTTGTGTGGCCATGTTCATGTCACTGAACCTCTTGCCTCCCATTTAAGTCATCTACACATAGGAATAATAATGCCTTTGAGGATAATAATAACTAACTTTGGGGGGTAACTATGAGGATTAAATTAAATGAGATACAGTAGGCAAAATCACCCAGCCCGTACACAGTGGGTGTATAGTCAATGGTAGTAAAATTCACTTCAAAATGAAAGGATTTTAAAGCGTTTTTGAAAATTTGAAGAACTGCACTTCTTTTGTTTAGTGAATCAAAAGTATATCTTTAGCATGTTTTCTTTCGAGAATACTTTCTTAATTTTCCTTGGCTTTTTGGAAGTTGTATACAAGGCATCCTGCAAATACTGAGCCTGAAGATATGAACACACATGCACACATACACACATGCAAGACTTGGCAGATGCTCTATCTAATGTGTGCGATGGCACATCTCCCCTGCCTTCGTTATCAGCGGAGTGTCTCTGGTGCTCTGTCAAAGCGACATTTAAAAAACACCTGGCAAAACAGAGCCCTAGTGCTCTCCAACTTCCAGCTGTTCCCTCCCACACCCTC